CCCCCCAAATTACCTGTAGACTATGCAAGAACGTAACTTCTAATTAGAGTTTCAAACCATGGTAATTCACACTGTGATCGAGCAAACAAACCAACAAAAATAAAACAAAACAAAACAAAAACAAAAACAAAAAGCAACAACAAAAAAAGCATAAATAAAGGAAAGTTTTTCATTTGATTTACGAGAAACACATCGACACACTAATGATCATTTAGTGCTGGGGAAAAATAAGACAGACAGAAAGACAGAAACAGTTGAGGGAAAGTAAAGAAGTCGGACCTACAAGTAATTGGCGCCCTCCAACTACCCGCGACACAGGAAAGGAAAACGACAGCGAACAAACATTTAAAAAATACTCGTAAAACAAACAAACAAAACAAAAAAACCCAAAATATATTTTAAAATTTGGCGCAATTTTCAAACCTGGAATGTTTTGTTATGTGGACAGTTTCATATCACAACAACAGCAATATTGCGGCAAACAGATTCCTGTTATCTTTTCCTTTTTGTGTGTTTTTTTTGTGACAGCAAAGCTGTCCCGAGATAGGAACGGGTCATTGACGCCAACTTACAAGGTACTTCAGGTTTAGAGTGCATTATTTTTTATCAGTATTTTTGTTGTTGTTTTGCTTACATGACATCAGCTTCTTTGTGTTGGGTTATTTTTGGTTTACTTTCTTTGTTTCATAAGACAGTTTGACAAGACGACAAAATACGCTGTTTGCCAAATCATGCGCACTGCCAAAAAGGACGACAGAATAATGAAAAGTACAGAGTGTAAAGGGCTTGTTGATGTTAATCTAAGACTCCATACAGATAGCACATAGATTGTAAATGTTTGTTTTTTTACCCTCTCCCTTGAAACCATTTAGATCTATATCATCTAGGAGGCAGGCTGCTTCAGAATAATAATATAGTGTAAAGCGCACAGAGTTTGCTGTCGAGCGGGGATGCACGTTAAGCAAATGCTATTTATTATTATTAATATTATTATTATCATTATTATCATTATTATTATTATTATTATTATTAT